TAGGCTCTCCTCTTAACCATTCGCCACGCAATTGGCGGGCGATTACGTGTGTCTTCATAACAGGTATCCAATAGGAACCTTTTTAGAGTGGTTTTCAATTAATTGTCGTAAAACCGAAACCAAATCAATTACTTACCAATTAGACTACTCAGCCAATCTCAAACCGTACTAAAACCAAAACCACATTCTTTGTCTGATTGCGTTCGACACTCATGACAATTGAAATCCGCTCTATAACGGGGCACCCGTAATTCAGTGGACACGCTTTAATGGCTTCATTTTCTATTGTTTCTGTATTGTTTGTAAAACGAATGCAAAGTACTATTGCCGGAGCAGACTGAGTTATACATTGGACTTAAGTGGAAATCACTTCTCTCATAAAAGCCATGTCGTGCTTTGAACTAGCTTCACCAAGCAATGAGAAACTTGTTTTGTGTTGTTTCCGAAGTAGTGATACAACAGTGTAATTTAATCGTAAATTGCCGAAACGTAAGAACAGTGTAGCAGAAACAAAAAAGAAGCTCAGCGTGTTGTAGAATAATTATGCAAAAAAGAAAATGTGTCTTGTTGAAACTTAACTGACCCTAATCCTATTGTGAGCAAAACAAAAAGTTACTAGAGGGGAATATAATGTAATCTTAAATTGCCGAAACATGGGAGACGTGTCGCAGAAACACAAAAGACGCTCAGTGGGAGATTTACGCCGTACTGTTGTAGCGATTAATATTGTGTAGAAAAGAATAGTGTGTCTTTTGTTGAAACTTAGCTGTTATATAAGCAAAACATGTTAACAGCTAAAAAAGTACAGATGTAATGAAAGCGTGTCGGTGTCGCTGAAACGCAGTCGATCACTTGGAAGAAAAGGTGTGTTACAGTTGTGTAACCAAAGTTACTAGAGGGGAACGTTTCTCTCTAGTAACTATGGTCATTTTTCAGTATGGTGCAACTACGGAAAAACTTTTCTTGAATAGAAAGATACTGTTTTATCCTAAAGGAACCACAGAACTTCCCTAGTTCTTGTAGTTCTTGAATTCATCATAAAAATGGATATATCAATCTACAGATGCATGCAGGTTTAATTTCAGGGGAAAAAATGTAGGAATGCAAAATGCTTTTGATCATTACAATTTTTCCGGGTTTTTCTTAAGAAGATAAATTGGATACCTGTAATTGAACACCTATACCATTTGCACGTCAATCAAGTGAGCTGTAATGCTTTCTTCCAGTATCTTTTCTACTGTTTGTAAAACTAGT